TGTTGCTCTGATTAATATAATTTTGATTTGAAATTTTATTTTGAGTATACTGCAAGGTTTATTTTGATCTATTTTGATTACACTAAAAAGTAAAGCAAGATTACTTGACATTATTATTTCTCTTTTTAAATAGTGGCTAGCATTCAGAAACTTCCTGCAGCCTCTGTTCTAACAGACATCAACTTCCCCATGAAAGGACGGAAGGGAATGGTTGATTGGGCGAGAAACTCAGAAGATAGGGTAGTCATTCCAAAAAGCATTTTCACTCCTGTGTCATCAAAAGGTAAATATATGAAATAATTTGAGCTTGAACAAAACATTCATGACAAGGTTATCTAATGAGACACTAGGTATAAATCTTCATACATTAAACAATTTGAAAACAGTCAGCAATGATGATTCTAAACTAATTTTGTAAATACAGACAACTTATGCTTGGTTTCTAAATCTCTGAATTTACTGGAAAAAAGTATCTATTAAAATGGAAAATAAAAAAAACAAGTTCAAATCATTGACCTGAGCTTGACATGGTCAATTTTCAATATTAATGATCTTTTCCCAGTGTAAAGCATGTGGTCAAATATTTTAACTTGGATATTGAAATATGTTGCATTTTCTATGCAAAGTCACTTTTATTTCTGCCTCACAGAAAAATTTGCTTTGGTTTGAAGGTATTATTTGGCATATACAAACAAATTTAAGAAAAAATTAAGTTTAAGAACACCTTCAATGAGCTCTAAAACTAATGGTTCTTTTCAAAAGTGACATTGTGGTCTTAATTCTCTCTTTGGAGACTTTGACCTTAAAAGGTAATGCTCTAAAAGAGAATTAGCTTTCTTTCCCCATATCATCGGGAATATAAACTCTTTAACAGAAACTAAATCAGCTTCTTGCCTTGGCCTGGTAAGGGAAAATTACTTCATGACACAAAACCAGCAAAAACACATCTTAACATGCAGGGCTTCCCGGGCATACCCAGCTTCTCCTTTGCATCAAGTACTGGGGTCCCCTTGTAACTAACAGTTTAAAGTTTTATAAGATATAGTTTTTTTCTTGCTTTTTTGCTAATATTTTTAATTTTATTCTTTCTAGAATTAGATGAATCATCTGTATTTGTTCTTGGAGCAGTCCTATACAAAAACTTAGATCTAATTTTGCCCACTTTGAGGTAAGCTACAAAGTAATAA